TAGTATCAAGAAGCTGCCAGTAGCTATAGAAGCTATTAGGTTGGAGGCCATCGCTAGTAGGTTGGAGGCCATTACTACTAGTAACAAGAAGCTACTAGTAGCTAGAAACTCCTAGGTTGGAGGGCGTCGCCCCTTGCAGCAAGGACGCTATACCGAACGTTTCGCCACCGGCAGGTCGCTCCTCTCCTGGGAGAGCCTCTCATCGTAGCTCGCGGAACTCGGTCTGACCTCAGAGGCGTCCTCAGCTACGAAGCCCCGCCAGGGCCCCCGGCTAGGGGTGTCCAATAGCCCCTTAGAGGTGATTCGGGGTGCCCATGAACCAGGGAGCCCTGGCAGGCTTTGCTTTTGGTGACTCGCGATTTGATCGCATCATATCGCAGAGCATCGTGGGGTCCCACCCAACAAGGGTCCCCCCGCTTCAAAATGGACTCTGACTTGCTTCCTGCATTTTGCAGGTGAAATTCACTTTTGGTCCTCCAAAAGTGCACAAGCATGAGCCTTCGCCCTCCCTGTGGGGGTGAACTTTTGCATGGCCAGGGCGCCCGCAAAGACCCGCCCAAAAAGATGGCCCGCGACTTTTCGAGGCCCTGTGCGTCTCCAGATGGTTCCGAATGAGGGGGTTTTCAGGCACAGGGATGACGGCCCTGAGCACCCCTCCAGCACTCACGGGCTGGGCCATCGGCTGGGCTGGGAACGGTGGCAACGGCGGATGACTTGGCAAGGTCAGTACACGGCGGATGGTTTTTTTTCCTCCTGAGCTCCGAGGAGGAACAAGAAATAACATGTCAGAAGATGTCACTGGCATGTCCCAGAATATCCATCAACCCCCACTCACACCACTGTTTCACCCTATCAAGTATATTCAATATGGATTCACGGTCCTACTACCCGTAACAGTCAGCACATCTGGGCGGTGGTTTCAGATATTCTTATTACCTGGGATGCTTGAACCCACTGACCAATATGTTTCAAAGGGTTGAAACCACCAACCAGGAAAACAATAAGAGATGTCGGCCTGGAACCTAACCATCATCCTCCACCGGGCCGTGGTGGTGGGATAGAGCGAATGCGTAGCACTTGAGACCTTGCATTTGCTGGTGTACAACTTTGAACTACCAAACTTGGCGTTTCTTGCACCTTCTAGTCGAAGGAGTGCCAAGTGAGTGGGTGAGTGGGGCTCGTTGCCACACATGTGTCCAACCTTTCCCGGTGGGAGAAGAGCAGTGAACTCCTTTTTGTTGAGGGCCGAAGAGCAGAGAACTAACTCAGCACGAAGAGGATGTTCAGAGCAGCAACGAAGTTCGTCGTTGGAGCTTAGGATCTTTGTATGACCGTTTTCAATCACTGCACCGCGGCCCTGGCATGAGCCGTTGCGGCCCTGGTTGCCGCTGAACAATGGGTCGCCAGGTGCAGTTGGACGTATTTTCCAGGTCGAAGCCAGAATCTCTCAGAGAGCCTGGGGAATCTGAATTGCATGCTCTGCTGAAAAGCTCCATGACCCCCAGAAGTTTGGGTGTTGTGGTGTTTCATGGTGTCTTTGCGTTTCCCCAATGCTTTCTGAAGTGCCTCAACTCTGCCGAATTCCACGCCCCCCGAGCCATCGGCACAGAGGCCGTGTTCAGCGCTCGGATTCGGCCTGTGGTGGAACAGATTGGCTTGGCTTCATCGGCCGCACTCCTGATGCCAGGGTTGAAGGACGGAAGGACTTCCACTCGTTACGATCACGACGGATGCCATGCATTGAACCATCCTTTTGCCTCGAGATGGCCGGTCAAAATCAGACCCGAGCGGTTGACCTACTAGCTGGAAGGGTCGTTTGCTGGTTGAAGGACTCATCCGAAGACGTGAGGATCGATGAGTTTGAGAGTCAGGTGTCGACATGTCCATTTTCCCATTGAGGATACATGGTCCGACTGTGTTTACCGATTTGTGCACTAGTCACTATAGTTACTATAGTTTTGTTGAAAGTGAAGTGTTTGGCAACAGTCACTTCCACTCTTACAGTAGATTCATTGCTTTTTGATGGTTGTCTTGGATACTGGAACAATCAAGCCGAACGTCCTGGGTCTTTCACTCTTTGGCCTGCAACGCAGCAGGAGATCAGTTTTTGTTTTTCTGTCCAAGACGCTTCTGCACAGGCCGATTGCCATGCCATGGCATTTGGTCTTGGGCAGATCTGTCATCCAACTTAGCTCACGCTCTGCTCACGGCTCGGTTCCCTCGCGCTTGTGTCACTGGTATGCTACTTACAGCTCTCTTGGAGGGCGATGGTTTGGGAGTTCAGCACCCAATATGTATTGTTTTGTATCATTTTGCTTGGGACTGCATAGTTTTCTCAGGTCTTCCATTTTGTTTCAGCAATTGAGTGTGTTTTGGTTCGGTCTCCGCTCTTCGCTGGCTGTTTGGGTCTCCTTCCATCCGAGAACATCCATCCGACGAGTCAAAATGTTGGGATCATTGGCAAGCCTTTTGCTAGTGTGGAGGTCATGGTCAGTAGAGATTTGTGTTCTTCTTCTTTGAGCATGCACCACCCCCACATGGATCAGGTGATGTGTGTACTTCTAATAGGCTTGGAGGTTCCAAGTCACTGAAGTGGTGTTCCTTTCATATACCTTCTGAGAAGGTACCCTGGAAGTAACACAGTCGGACCGCCAGTCGACCCGGGTCCATGTGAGTGATCTTTAGATCAGGGGCAATGTATCGGCCGTTGATAGGCATGCCCTTTGTTCACATCCAGTCACCCACAGTTCACATCAAGTGCAAAGCCTTCGGGCCTCGGCTGGGTCGTACACTCCAGTTCATAGAGGTGTACCCTCAAAACACCTTGTTTTTGATGTTTTTGTGGATCCGGATCCTTAGGGTATAAGTGTTCTCTTTTTCTTCCCCCCGTTCCTCAGGCTTCGTCGTGGCGCGTGTCCGTATCGAGCGGAGTCCGTGTTTTCACGCTCGATAGAACAGCAGAGTCCGTTGGGAACGGCGAAGTCAAACGGCACCAATGTACAGACCGAAAAAGAATGCGAACAGGGCTTTGCGTTTGAAACGCGGTTGGATGTGTGTCATGTCAGCTGATGCAACACAAATTCAACCAGGTTATAGGATGCATTTGGGAAGAGGACCTGAACTTCAGCCACTCATCTTCCGTTGGATCCCCAAGACGTGGACTTCGGCAATCGACCGCGCCGCACGGTCACCCCTGGTCGGTCCACGACTGGTTAGCCCAAATGGTCAGCCGGACCTCGGTTGACCGGACGAGCTGAAAAAGATTGTGTTTTGCTTGGCTTTCTCCTGTCCGCTTTCGAAACACGGCAGCTCTTCTACTGCAGATCTTCGCGCAGATTGTTGCTGGTTGGGGATTTGGGGGGGTTCTCTTTGCGCGAGGAAAAACAACTGCACCCTAATAGTCCAAAGATGTCCATAAACTATCTTTTGATTGACTGACGTAAAGGACATTCTTGAACTCGGGTCACCTAAAGACCATTATGTTTAGCGTCTTTGACTCCCAGGGTGTACTTCACTCAAGAAGTGTTTGTGCCCTACAAGTCCAGTCTGACCCAGTAAAGCCTGGTCTTATGCATCCTTAAGTAGTGTGGCTTTGTATGACCATGTCCAGTAAAATGAGGTTATTAACCTGTAGGTAGTAGGGGTTGATTAAGAGCCCTGGCCATGGTATTTGGGGACCCTGGGGCTTAAGACTCTACCTTCCAAGAGGGTTCTCCAACAGATACATCGAGCAGAGTACCATTCTTTCACATAGTTTCTCCAGTTTTGTTCGTGTATATCATCGATCCGCATTGATGACTGGAGGGAAACATATGATCTCAGATGGCAACTGCTTCCAGGACCTTCCAAGTGACCTTTTGAGATCCTAGGATGAGTAGAAGGCATTCAAAGGTCACATAGAGCTTTAGAGACTCTAAAAAGGTGACGAACGGCTCAGGTCCTGGTTGTGGTGTTCACATTTGGACCCTTTCTCTTCTCAGCGTCACTGAGGAGCTCATCCATAGCATTGTGACCAAGGTGTTGGGGTTTCTCGGCGAGTGATTCGAGCTGTGCTTTCTGAGTAGGTGACACGCAGAACATGACATGGATATGAGTGACATGAGGATGGGTTAAAACCTGGAGCCCCAACACCATAGCTTGATCTCCCAGGTTGACCTTGTAATTATCCTGTTTTTGACCCACAGCCACATGCAGAAGACATGAAGATGTCATGATCCTGACTTTGTCCTGCAAGATTAGGTTTTGGTGGGTTCATGGGGTTTGCCGGGACTGTGATTCTGCTGCTGCTTTGATTTGCTTGTTGTTGCATCCATGGAAAGGTGATTGTACATGCGACCCGCAGCAACAAATTGCCCAGCTCAGGAATCAGCGATCCCCAAACAGCTGCTTGGAAGAAACTAAGAAGATCGTCCCGGCCAGTCACCATACATAGAAAAGCCACTATAAGATGTCTTATAGTTTAACTATCAACTAGTTACTTACATAGAAACTATCGATAAATAGAAAGGTCACTAGTAACTTTCTCGTTTCAGAATCGACATATGCCGCTTGCAGTTGGGGTCTCCTTGGACCCCTCTGTTCGTGTCTCACCCTGTGAGTCCACCCAATGGAGTCTCACCCTGTTCATCCGCCGGAGGGGCTCCGGGGTGTTGGCCATGGCGCCAGCCATGGAGAGATGGCGCCCGCCACGGTGTTGGGACATGTCGCGATTTCCGAACCAGTTGGTCAGCCAGTGGTACATGGAACTTCAGCAGCTAGCTGACAGTGGATGAGAATGTTTTTGGATGGAAGCTGCAGCTCGCGCGGCATTGGTCCAGCTAGAGTCTAGAGACACGGGGATCTCCAACTTCACCCTTGACTATGTATTACCATACACAGATATTCCATGGGACTGGCATATATTTATCTCAGTATTTACCTACATGGAGGTGGTTTCAGGGGTCAATAGCAGTATACATTCCATACATGATGTGCTGGGTGGTTTTGTCAAGGCTTTTCGCAGCTGGGACCGCCCCCTGAAGTGCAAAAGGGCCATGAAGAAGCATGATCCGTGAATGAGAAGTGATTCTGTGTGCTCAAATGATTTGGTCACAAGACGAGAGACCCAGCACCGAGGATTTGGCGGTTGGTGGGTTCATGTGTTTTTCAGGGTTTACTTGCCATGACGGGTCCCATGACGACATGCCATGATGTGTTTTTGTTCTCCCAGGCTTTGGGATCATGTCCCGGTCTCCACTCAAGGAGCTCATGACATCCCTAGAGGTGCCGTCTTAGAAGAATGAACACCCGCCACTGAAGACGAGGTGCGAATGCACTCCTGGAGCGCTATTTGGGCTCCGAAGGAAACTTCTCACTGGACTCCTTGGTGACCTTGCCCTACAACAAGGCACTGGTTCTCCTTTTTCGAAGGTCGACGCAGAGGGAGTTTTCTCCAAGCAGGGGCCGGGGCACCTCGGTGGTTTGGAGAAGATCCATCAGCAACGTCCACTTCGACAGCAATGGAGCTTCGCTGTTGGCTTTGCTATGTCTCGCCATGTCGTGCCCCTAGGGCTCCAACCATATCCTCAGAAGGTGGTTAGACCCCCCTGGCACCCACCCCAATCATCTTCTCAGGAGGTGGTTGGAGCCCTAGGCTGCTATCATATCATCAATTTGGAGAGGAATTGTGAGTAAAAGGTGGGAGGAAAGGGGAGGGTCACCACGTTTGTTGAGGGTCGTCACGGAAAACCCACTCGGTGTTGGTTCAGAGCCACCGTTCTTTTTTGTTAAGGGACTTTTTCGT